ACATGTAAGACTGGTACCAAGAATCCCCTGCAGCCTGAACCTCCTTGGGCTCGTCACGCTTCTCGCTGTTGGTCATTTGATCCATCATATCCTTGGGCATATCCACGATATGGCGCTTCTCCATCTTAGCGTTCATCTTCGCGGCTTCGGCTTCTACAGAAGCAGGGTACGGATTGTAATTCTCGTAGTAGACGCCGTAGGTCTCGTACTTATCGTACTTGTCGTACACCTCCTGTTTGGATAAGGGTTCGTCGCGCTTCATGTTCGTGGCCGCTGATTCTACTGGACCGTTAGAAGTGCTTTTGTCCGGAAGGTTGGAGGGCGAGAGAACGTACCTTGCTGCATCTTCGCTGCCTCTGCTTCGGCTGGTGAAGAATAATCTCCGTACTGGTAATACGGGCGGTAGCCGGCGTATTCCTTGTAGTTGATATCTTGAGCTTGATTCGCGGAGTCGTCACCCCTCTTATCGAGTGGCATAGCTGCCGTAAGGGCGGCGAGACCCACGAGAACCAGTTCGAGATGCATGGCAGGGAATGATCGGCCGTGAGACAGCGGAGACTTTCAAGGATGTCGAGGAAGTAACCTTGAGGGAAGACTGTTGTGGTGATTTCCCAGTTTCGCCACGGGAGTCACCTTTTTGTACATGTCGGCTTGCAGTGCCTATGGAGTACAACCTCATTACAGAGGCCAACTGTAGTGAGCATGGCGTAAGGTTGCATCCGCATGCGCGTAATATTGTATCTGCTCGCATTGACTGCAAGCATCGGGGAAGCATGCACCACGTAGCTCGCGCAGGTGCAATGAAGTCGCTGCTGTAGGTTGTGCAAAGACAACATCGGTAAAGTGATATTGGTCCGAAGTTTTGGGAAGACGTAGTTCAGATGCGCTCAACGATGTACACCGCCTTCAAGTGAAGCAAGCAAGACGTACTCTTCCGGTAATAACGCCTACTGGTTGATGAGTGAAGATTGCAGGACAGATGTAGCTGTGCGTCGTTGCTATGGAGTCAGCATCATGTGGCCAGACTAAGTCGTGATGGTTAGTCCGGCATACATATTTGCCTATCGTGACCCCAATTCGGTGTAAGCGCAGAGCGCATCTCCATAGCAGTAAGGCGGAGTAAGTCATTCGGTCAAGCTATGGTAGCGTTGGGATACCTTTACGCAGGTTCTTCAATAGTACGGTACGATAGTGACCGGTACGGCGATTGATGCCTCAATGAAAGAAAGTCGGATACTGTTAGTGGGAATTCCAAAGATATGATAGGGCGCGGTGCTGCTAGCGGAGTGATATATGTCGCCTTCCACATCGCACGACTAACGTGTTTGACATGTCTGACGCCCATCACAGTGTCACTGCTTGTCCTACACGGCTGGTCAAGTCGTACTGATGTCCAATTCGTACCGAAAGTCGTACATGGAGGATTATAGGGATAGACGGTATTGAGGCCCAGTCGTCTGGTAAAGCGACTTGGGGGGACTCGCATCCCTTGATGCGATAGCAGGTCTGTCGCTATTTCCTTGCTACTCTTTCATCGTCGACCAGTTTCCGATCTCAGAACGCGTATATCTGAACTGCAATCTCTTCATGTTCGACATCCTCCGCAATCGTCCTCGACACGAGCGGTTACTACAACACGACTCCGAGTGCCATGACGACGACGACACTCTTTTGCCTGGCTCTTCTTCGTCGACCTTACTGACGCTTAAATCACCAGCGTTCCAAGGATCGAGCCGCGATGTGCGAGTCGCAGTGAGGACCCTCATAGCATGTACCATCGTATACGTAGGTGCTGCTTTGTGGATAGCCTTCACTGTGAACAAGTCAGCTTTGATCTCCGACCCAGATGACTTTTGTATCCATCATGTTTCGCGTTACTGTATGTAACGGACTCTCGAAGAACACATGTCGTTACTGATGGCAACAGCACCGGTCGTCCGGGATGTGAAACCAAATTGGCATACGCAGTTGTTCAACGGTAGCTTTCTTCATCAGAACATCTATCGCCAACCAGCAGGACCAGAAGTTGATGCTGCATGGGATGCGCTGGGTGTCAATTGTAAGTCGATAGTCTAGCAGTACCAGCAACACGCACACTCAGTTCTGATTCCCATACTAGATCGAAGTGTGGTGATACCCGAGGACGAAGCTGAGCGAACCGGATTGCGGCACGACCAGGTGAAAGTCAGCCAAGAGTATGGAGGTGGCTTCCCAGCGAACGTAGAAGGCCTCCATCACTTACACTGTCTGGTACGCAGCAAGATCAGGTAGCGGAAAGTACGTCACTAACATTTCGAAGGACCTTCTCCGCAAAACACTATATTGGAACTATTCCTATTATTCGGCAAAGAAGGAAGGACCCTTCGTCAATAGCGAGTACATCGTGCGAGTGCACACGACGCACTGCTTGGATATAATAAGGCAGGTGCTCATGTGTAATCCAGACGTAGGTGTACTTGGTCAAGTGTGGTGGCAGGCCGACACTATGCCAGACCCGACGCCATTCGTGGACTTCAACACAAGGCACCGATGCCGAGACTATGAGCAGGTTCGAGAGTGGGCGGAGGCGCACCAGCTCCCACCAGAGACGGAGGTGAACATGAGCCGTTTCTACGAGATGCCGAAGCCGGGAGATTTCATCTTCCCTGAGATCCCATGAGGGTCGTGGACGCTGAGTATGTCAGTGGACGTAGCTGAGAAATGTTCGGTCCTTCGTAGCAGTATGAAATATCTCGCACGTGTCCTTTCCGTGACAGCCTGTGCAATATGCGCTGCGATAGTAGATGTGTGCGACAACTGGCGCAAGGCCTTGTTCAGTTCTGGCGGGGCTTCACGACGCCATCGTGCACAATGTAGTAGACGACTGTGCTGTCCGTGTCTACCGACGCTAATAGTACGCGCTTCGTTGTTCTCCAAGGGTTGGTAGGGCGGTCCCCCTCTACTGTCGACGCGTCTGCTGCCGGCGGGACCATGGTGATGGCATCGAAGACGTGGGCCAGCCGACGCAGCGTCCACTTCTCGTTCAGCCTGGTGGGCAGTATCCATTCGCGCTCCGGCTCTGCCTTGACCTCCAAGCCACCTGCCTCGCCCTCGGCGCGCGCCTTCCGTTCGCGGTCGGCCTTCTTCAGCAGCTCCACCTGCTCGTCGGGGTGTACGTAGAGGCGGCGCGGGGGCAGGCCAGAGACCAGCGGGCGGGCAAGGGGCTCGTGGGTAGTCGGTGAGTGCGTGTGTACGTGGAGGTCGGACCAATAGTGCTGGTATTGGAGGTTATGCAGTATCTGGCGGGCGAGCGATAACTCATTCGGAAGGTGGCTTGATGCTGCGGCTGCCTCGGGAGCGATTGATACGAACGTCTGCAGCGCAGCGGGCGCAACGGCACGTTTCATCTCTGTCGTTACGGCGACTGTCGTCATACTGGAGGCTGGGCGCGGAGAAGTGCTGGAGGGCTATTGGTGGTGCAAGGTTTCGCACGTCGACGAAGCTACTCGGTTGTGGAAGGAGCGAAGATCTCAAAAAACACCCCGCCAGTCACGCGAAGGCTGCCGAGCGACCATGGGAAGGGGCGACGCGGCCTAGGCAGCAGACAGCGTCCATTCTTATAGCTTGTCCAGTTGGGTTATTTTCGCAGTTCAAGACTCCTTCGAAACTTCCAAGAAACATTCAATCATCTTTCCAAGGCCGTCGTCATGCTCGCAGCAATCTCCATCCCCACACTTCTGCTTCTGGCTAGCGTTGCCGTTGCCCAAGACGATACACCCTCAGTCGCGACCTCGCCATTCGTCAGTCCTACGCCGGAGTCTGAAGCACTGTATACCATTCAGACTCAGACCGCTACTGATGATGTCGACCCATGGTCGTGCTACATGGAGTGCGTTCAGCCTCCATGCCCGGCATGTAAGTACACCCTCTTCGGCCTATCGCGCAATATGTTTAACAACAGTAGGCACCGGCAGCATGATGAGCGTCCCCCCGGTTTCTATGCCTAGTGTAACGGACGTGTCCATCATCCCTCCGGTATCCATGCCCACCGTAACGGACGTCTCAATTCCACCACAGTCTGGCATCTCGGTCGTCACAACGCCTGTTCCTATGCCCACTGTAACGGACGTATCAATCCCCCCTCAAGACTCCACTGGCGCCATGTCAATTCCTGAGGGCGAGACACCCATCTCTAGCGGCGCTGTTGACACGCCTTCTTCGAGCCTTGGCTCGGCCGCGAGTGCGACTAGCTCTGGTCTACCAGAGCAGACAGAAAACGCTGCCGCAGCGAGGGGTCGCGACATGCCCGTCGTTGTCGCTATTGCCGGCGCTCTGGCTTTCTTGTGAGTATTAGGTTGAGAGCGAGGGTGTCAGACTGTTCAAATCAGTTGTTTGTTTTGTGTTGTCAATGCGACGGCTGCGTTGGTGCGCGTCGGAGCGACTCCGGTTGCCAATACTGCATGCACTCGAACGATGGGACCATTGTAGAAAGGTGCATTCGCAGTAAAACTCTGCTGAATACAATACATAAACGAAGAACAATAATCACCCAAGACTCTAATGTATCTCGCAAGTCTAACCGTGACGCGCGGACTGCGACGCCATTACGTGTGGCGAAGTACCTCTCGCGTATTCGTATAGCCACCCGGGCATCTAACGGTGGCTTATACGCGCTGCACGTCAGTGGGTCTGGGGTTGGCAGGAGCCGCGTCTACAACAATCTAGGCCGTCTCCTTCCCTCCACGCCAGCGCCAACACCATATAACCTTGGGTGCCCAGCACTCGCAACCATGTCGATTTTCAGACGGCTCCTGCTATTCTTCGAAGCCGGTTTCATACAAGCACCCCTATACCGGCCCAAGTGATAGCGAACAGAAAGCAGGGATCTCGCCAAGGCACTGTGTCATTGCCAATCGTACCAACGATCAACCACTTGGCTGACACGTCGAACCGCACACGCGCTTCAACGGGGCGAATCCCCTACAAAGCAAGCGCGAGCGTGCACTTCACTTTCACCAGCTATGGCTTCCCCGAACAGCAACGTACCAACGCCAGTGCCGTTCCCTCAGCCTGAGGGCATTCGCAACCCCAATGCAGCGAGCCCTACCGCAGAGTCGCCCAAGACTCGCGAACGAACTTCCACTAATGCCTCCATCGTCTCCAACAAGATCCGTACCGCGACTGGTAAATTGATGGACGTGAACCCGCCGCCCGGCATGTGGGCTGCCGCAGGGACGACTGCCGCCAAAGCACCTTCGATAACGGACATCAGAAAGGGCTCATTTGGTTCTGACGGATGGAACGAAGACTCGCAACGGAAGAGAGCAGGTTCACGAACAAGCCAGGGCGAGCAGCGGTCGCGAGCTTCCACCAACGCAGCATCACCGATAGATCAATCTGAGCGTCCGTCTTTCGGTGGTCAACGCAAGGTCTCGTCGAGCAATGCATTGAACACCGAAGCCTTTCCTGCTCTAGCTGAAGAGGATACAAGACAAGTTGCGGGATACGATGGCTACGACGAGCGGCCCAATACCGGCAGACAATCAAAGCACAGCTCCGAATCCGCGACAGAGCACTTTGACGACGATAGGCCGCAGCAGCCAAAACGGACATCATCAGGACGGGTACGTCTTCTCCTCCACCATCCAGACAAGCATGCTAATCATGGCGCAGTATGCCAACGGCTACGTACCACCTCCCAAGTTGCCGTGGAAGAAATCGTTCATGATCGGGCTTAAAGGCTTTTGGAAGTGGTTCCTCACACCCGCCGGCTTCCTCATCACGCTCTACGGTCTGAACGTTGTCGCCTGGGGCGGTATGCTCTTCCTCCTACTCTGTAACGCCGCACCCGCCATGTGTACACCTACCTGTGACGACATCAATTCCCCGCGCCGGAAGTGGGTAGAGTACGATTCGCAAATCCTCAACGCACTTTTCTGCGTTACAGGATTTGGTCTCGCGCCTTGGAGGTTCCGCGATCTATACTACTGGGCTTGTTGGAGAATCGGAGGGTCATCCCGCACGGAGACGGGCATCAGACGTCTTGCTGGCATACATCGGGGATGGTTTCGGCTTCCAGGTTCAGATCGGCTGCCTGACAAAGCAGGCGCAACCGTCGTCGATCCCGAAGATCCAGCTGTACCAATTCCCGTCCAGATGATCCCCGACCCACCGCCCACGGCGATTCGCGCCCCACCCACTAAGAGCTGGAAGATGGATTTCGTCATATGGATGAATGTATGGAATACTTTCTTCCAGGTGGTTCTATGCTTCTACATGTGGCACTATAATCGCATCGACCGGCCTTCCTGGGCTACTGGTCTGTTCGTGGCTCTGGGATGCGGAGTGGCGGGTGCTGCAGGCATCATGATGTGGCACGAGGGCAAAAACGTCAAGAAAGTCGAAGGTGTGCCCATGCGTAGGGATTATGGAGACCAGCGAGACGACGAAGAAGCGCAGAACATTCCACTCGTGACCACAGGAGTGGCGACGAAATCCTAAGGAATCTGCCCAGCGCCTTGTGTTGCGCAGCCAGGGATAATGAGAACGCTCATTGGAGCGGGACCCTCCCTTCCCCTCTTGGCGTTTGGTCTAGTTGTGGCGTTGCGGCGAACACAACATAGACGCATTTTCATGATCGATACCCAACAGCCCGCGGGCATTATAGTACCACATTCTAATAGCGTACCCATGACCTTTTCTGAGTCAACATTTCTTCGTTTTTCTTCCATCACGTCAGCTTTCCGCTGCGCGAAGAAAGTGCCGGAAGTTCCCTCCGGACTTCGCCATAGATCAACCTTATATGAGCCTCGTGCTGACAAGCTTGCCGAGCTCCCCGGATAGGCCGAGCTGCATGCTAAGCGTTCCCGAAGCAGATCCGTTGATCGAATGACGTATCAACGTCGTACTTTCTACGGACTGGTGACAGTTGCACGCGCTCTTGGTATTTATTTAGCCAAGGCCTTGTGATCTTGTTGTCTTTCGCATTTTGCATCTTCATCTACATCGTACCCACATATATCACCAGTCGTACCTTCTTCTTCCAAACAAATAACGTCACCAGCAAACACTCGAACAGACTACAAGAGATGGCAGCGCAAGAATATTATCTGGGTACAGCGGCTGCGCATGAACTGCCAGGCAGCCACCCGCCAAATCCATATCCACCGCAGCCACCAAAGCCGCCACAATACCAACAACCACCTGCGCAACCTCCACGACCACACGTTAGCAATCCTCCATATGCGAACACGCCGCCTCCATCATACTCAGCATATCCCCAGGCCCCGCCACAACAACCTTATGGCTACCCACCTCAACAACAACAGCAACACCAGTACTACCCAGAGAAGAAGAACGCCCAAGCCATGACAGCACCATACCCACAAACACCACCAGCAGGCGGCTACTACCCACCCCAACAGCCGATGCCCCAAAACAACGGCTACCTCGGCGCCCCTCTACAACCCTACAGAAGCCACTCGCAACCCGCGCGCGTACGCTTCGCAGATCAAGACTCCGACCGCAGCACAAGTCTAGGCTCCGTGTCCGACTCGGACGACTACTCCCCACCCCGGCACAGCAACAGCAGCAGACATCACCGCCATCACAGCCACTCCACCCGCGACCGTTCCACCTCTCGCGACCGCGACCGCTCGCGCAACGAACGCAGACACAAGCCGCGCAAATCATACTCATTTGACAAGGCACACGAGGACAAGCACAAGAACAGAGACACATTCCTCGGCGCAGGCGCAGGCACGATCATCGGGGATGTGATCTTCCCTGGTTTGGGCACAGCGGCTGGGTTGGTCCTGGGTGGCTACGGGGGCAGGAAGTATGCTGATCAGAGGAGCAAGAGCGATTACGCCGGGAGTGAGAGGAGGAGTCATCGTGGGAGTAGGAGGGCGGGGGATGATGGGTGGGATGAGAAGACGAGGACGTATCGGAAGGGTGCGGCTGTGAGGTGATCACATTCACGATCATGATTATGGTTTGCTCACGCTCTCGATGACGTTACGATTTCTGTCCTTTCTAACTACGGTTTATGACGGAAATGACGTGGGATGATGAAGGAATGACCTGCTTTATACGCTGCTGGACAGCACGACTCTAGTTATTAGTATCAATGTATTCTCAACTTCTTACAACACACCTTCCATTGCATGGTCGGCTTACGTCATGTGAATAAACATTATTATAATTTGGCATGTTCGTCTTCGATCGCTCGAGAGCGATAGCGCTACATGTCCATCTACCTGTCCCTACATTTTCGGCGCACGTCTTCAATCGTCTTCACGATAGCGTTGCAGCCGTTTTCCTACTTCCGTCGCGCTCTCCATGATGTATGTCTTTGACCGGCCGTGCGGTAGCATTCCATCTTCCTTCCCAATAATGATACATGGATGTATGTCTTCAACCGAACTTGCGGTAGCATTCCACCCTAAGCCTCCAGATATATACAAACAATAACATAAACAGTGCACGTCTTCAACCGCACGAAGCGGTAGCGTCACACCCTGATTCTGACATCCAATCAGAAGTCTTGGAAGAGACCTTCTAGTAGATGCCAGGTACGATCCTGTAAGGGACAAGCTCGACGTAGCGGTCCCAATCCTTGCCGTACTTCCTGCGGCACTTCTCTTCATCACGACGCTCACGGTGGATGAGCAGGATAGCAAAGTAGACCATGAAGAAGTAGGTGAAGATCATACCCCAGCCCTTGGCCTCACCAGGGACGGCGTACTTTCCGTAGCTGTTCTGGTAGAAGTAAACATCGGTTTGAGCTGCTGTGATGGGAGACTGGGCTGCGTTCTTGATGAGGTAGCCGGACATGGCAGTGGGTAGAACGTAGCTCCAGCTCATGAACCAGTCGCCAAGGTAGTTGATGTGACGCGCCATACCCCACCAGCCACTGATCAGAAGCTTGGAACCTGCGGCTGTCTCGATGCACTTGAGGTGCTTGACACGCGGGTCGTTGGGGTCGGTCCTGAAACGGTTCTTCTCGTTGTTTACCGAGCGGAAGATGTAGTATCCGATACCCTGGACGGCCAACACACCAGCAATGCCAACAGGACCGAGATCAACGGGATAGTTGGAGAGGTAGCGGGTTTGGATTGAGTAGGTGAAGGGCACCCAGACGAGGTCACCGAAGGAAAGCATCATACCAAAGCCATCGGCGATGATGTCGATGGTGGTTAGGATAGCGGGCTCCATGAATAGCGCGTCGAATGTGTACACGGTGTGGGCGATGGTGACGAGGAGGATGCTGTCAGTGACGCGGCCGAAGTTGCGGTATTGCTGCATGATGAAGGCCAAGTCGAGAATGATCCATCCCAGCATTCCGGGGCGAAGCTCGCACCAAGCTTTGATATCAACCTCTCCGAAGATGGGCATGTTGACACGAGGGTTCAGCTCACGTCCGATAAACCAGTCGTAGAGCATGTTGCCGGTACGGCCACCAGCGGCAAGCTCGCGCATAGACGGATCCTTGGGGTGCTTGACACTGAAAGAAGCGACGTAGCAGTAAGTGGCCAGGAAGTAGGAGATGAGAATGTTGCTCGTCAGGATGCCGACGTAGTTGTCGGTGATAAAGGTCCAGACGGGGAAGTCCGCACCCTGGGAGATGGTACCGGCAGCGAGAAGAGTCATGATGAAGAGGGCTGAGTTCCAGGCATTGAACCTGTACTTGAGCCTTCCGCCGCTCCTGAGCTCGGTACCCTCAACTTCCTGGCCAGGAAGGAATCGGTAGAGGAACAGACTCAGGAAATAGTAGGCCAGGGTACCAAGGAAAGCCTGGGTGTTGAGTAGACCCGAGAAGCCAGTCCATCCTACCTCCTTCTTCAGCTGCTCAAGAGTGAAGCTGTAGGGGTGGAGAAGGACAGGCGCCGGACATCCAGAGATGTCATTGCACAGAAACGTGAAGACGTACACCAAAACCGGCAGACCGAAAGAGATGATGAAAGCTCCAGGGCTGGAACGAGGTTAGCGTTGTGATCGTCAGGGCGCGCAAAAGTCGTGGATGGACTTACGGTCCTAGAAACTCATAGCCATGAGGCTCTTCAGCCAGCGACTTAGTCGCCTTGTCAGTCTTCGCTTTCGACATGTTTTCAATGTCGAATTGTCGCGTTCTCCAGCTCTTTCCGTTCCGGCTAGATCCGCCGAATGAGGGAGCTCGAGGAATAGGGGTCCGGTCGCGTCGTCACAACAGAGGTTCCTTGTCGCAGTTGTTGTCTTCGCCGAGGGTGATTGTCGCGCCGCCTGAACCAAAGACAGCCACGGGTGTAGTGTCCTATATAGCAATGAATGAGGCTGGGCGCATCAGACGATGAAAGGGACCTCGGATTCCATTGCAGCCGTAATGACGCGCACACGCCATCTTGGCCGCGCTAGCTGCTTTGGGCGCTACCGCCCGTCGTTACTGCCGCTGCAAGGCACTCGACATGGAAGGCGCGGCGCCGGAAGTCAACGTGTTGCGAAGATGGACAATCGTATCAGCTCCACCTTCACCGTCACCACGCCTCGACCCTCATAGTGCGTAGTGCGCCGATCAACCACGCGATGATATCCCTACTATACTCGCTCCTGCTTCTGGCAGCGTCGGGCCCATTCGCAGCGGCCGCTTCGGACAAACAGCTCAAGCCATGTACCGTCATCTCACCCACGTCCGAGCGCTTCTTCGACCTGAACCCTATGCGCCGCCAGCCACCATCGGAGTCGGACGGCAAGAAAAGTAGCAAGAAGGAGGGCGAAGAAGGCAGCTGGCATGCCAAGGGCTACGATTACAATGCCAACTTCACAATCAACTTTTGTGGACCTGTAGTGGAGGAGCTGGACAAGGTGCAAGATCTAGACAAGGGCCTTTGGAAGAACGTCAGCGCATTCTACGAGAGAGGAGACAAGCAATGGGCTATTGGGTGAGTTTGACACCCTACAAAGTGAGGATAGATGGAGGGGCTTAAGATGCTCGTTCACGACCAGGCAGAAGGATCCATTGGAGCGCAATGCTGACACCTTGCGATTTCCAGTCTCGAGAACTCAGAACCCATCTTCCGCGGTCGCAAGCTTATTCTAAACTACACCGGAGGTTCGCTCTGCCCAGATCTGTCCTCGAAATCCAAGCGCACGCTCGAACCCACCTCTCTTGACACCCGCGAGATCATTGACGGCGACGATGACGATGACCAGGACGACGGAGACAAAAAGAAAGGCTCAAAGAAGACTGAGCGCCGCAAGACTACCATCATCTCTCTGCTTTGCGACAACGACCCTCTCGCGAAAACAAGTGTGTCCTTCGTCGCGGCGGTAGACGACTGCTCGTACTTCTTCGAAGGCCGCTCGCCCTTCGCATGCGGCGGCGTACACCAGGATACCCAAGCACTAGGCCCCGGCGGCGTCTTCGGTGTCATCGTCATGATCGCCGTAGCCGTATACTTTGCTGGTGGTTGTGTCTACCAACGCACCGTCATGCACCAGCGCGGATGGAGACAGCTGCCCAACTACGCCATGTGGGCAGGCATCTGGCGCTTCTTCTCTGTAAGTCTACTCCGCTGTTGTCGTAGAAGGAGTAGTAGTAGCGCCCGGTGGTGATGACAGACGCTCGAATGTCTTGTTGGTGTTGCTGACATCGTGAAGGACATGTTCATCATTCTTACTTCGTCGTGTGCGCGCTTCATGCCTTCCCGCCGGGGCTACAGTCGCGTCTCGCTCGGCCAGGATAGCGGACGGAGGGGACGAAGGAATGAAGATGAGGATAGGTTAATAGACAACCTGGACGAGGAGTGGGACGATTAGACGTGGCAATCCATTGGTATCGGGCATGGCATAACGACGCGGCGTTTACGGGGTTTGCTTAAGGACAATAGACGCTCAGGAGCGCTTGAACAAAAGACTTGTTGACTCTGACACCTTCTGCGGAAAGGTGAACACCTAGAGCCTACATTGACATTAGATCATATACTTTGCATTCTCCCAATTTGATGTAGGCTCCAGAGTGTTCGGTTTCTCTTTGTATGAGATGCTGATACATTACCGATGGGTTCACTTTCACGAGTGCACGTTCATGGAGATGTTTTGGAGACTGCATTGGTAACGCACTGACACCAAGTATCCATGTCTCCACCCGGCCCAGAAATGACTGGCTAAAGACACCATGTACACCGGAGAAGTACCGACTGAAATTGCAAGAAAGATCGCTCGTTCCTCTCGTATTATCACCAGAATAGACCAGTTCCTCTCACGTGTGCTCGCGAGTCAACCTAATCAGGCCCTTCATATCAACTGATTCGGGGAAAAAACCATCCCGATTTGAACGCCCGTTTGGCAATTCGACTAACGCCTGGGGTATAAAGCAGCGAACAATGAAGCAATACGGGTATCGACGGCTGAGATGATGCTGTGTCGTGAGCACACCTACATCTCCTCATCTACCTCGTCGTCGACTCGGGCACGCCGGTCGACATGGTCGCCACCGTTCTTGGACATGGACGATTCAGTCTCCACCGGAGCTGCCTCATCAACGTCTTCCTCGACGGAGTCCTGTGCGGAGTCAACGATGCTGCGGTCGTCTTCCATATCCACGTCCATCTGCTCTTCTCCCTCGGCTGTACTGTTTTCTGCATCTTTCTCTGCTAAGATGTCGCCGCGAGCGATGGGCTCAAATTGTGCATCGATGCCTGCCAAGATCTCTCTGATTTCCGACCTCAGCTCCCTCTCTTCTTTTGATTGCAGATTAAGGGGCTGACAGCCAGCCGCGCCACCAAGCACTCGGGTATAGTCCCTGTCCATCTGCACGAAAATCTCATCAACCTTGGTTTCCATTGACTCTTGTAGTGCTTTACACATGTCATCAAGGTGCTTGTTGACTGTTGCGATGGCTTCATGGAACATCCTGTGTCGCTCCCGCTCCACATGATCTTCCATGTGTTGTTTCATGCGCTTATAAGATCCAGCGCCACGCTCTTCTGTGCACACATCGTATACGTCATGCATAATGCCTGCGATGCAAGGGCTGAAGTCACGGTTCGCTTCCCGCTGGAGTTCGTTCATTTGAGTGATGAGCGTAACCCCAAGATCCTTGAATAGCTGCTCGTAGTTGCAGACCTGTGTCTTCAAGATTGAGAGATTCGCCAGGCCAACGCCGCTGGTCCTCGCACGCTCTTCTATGGCTTCGTGAAACTTGTGAAGAAGTGTGCCTGAATTGCTGATATACGCATCAAATGCTTTTGGAAGGCGCGTCTGGAAGGCTCGCTCCCAACCCGTTGCTAGTTGCTTGATGATGGGATCCACAAGATCGGAGTTGAAGTCACGGTGGCCGGCCGCAGAAGAATGATAAACGCCGTCGCGTCGAACGACAGCTTTGTAGGATCCCCACGCGAGGCCACCTTGATCCTTGTAACCCCAAGCATGTGCTGTAGCTGGTGCAGATTCAATGGCCTTGTTGATGAGCTCTGGGCATTTGTCGAAGATTTGAGTCTTCATCTCAGATCGCATCTCTTTGATGCAAGCACCAATGGCTGCCTCTAATCCTTCCGTTAACTGAGTAAGCCGCCGCACTAGGTAGCTGGCCTGCTTGCGCTTGTCCTCGTCTGTCATCTTCGAACCCGCCCCGTGGTTTGACATCCAGAGGTTGAAAGTGGTTAATATTTGGCAGACGCTGGTCAAGAACGCGCGGCTAGTTTGAATGCGTCCACCTTCAGTAAGCTTCTTACAATGGTTCTGAAGTTGGGGCACTTCCGTCTCTTCGGGTGTTAGGAATCCGGGCACTTCATCGTCTTTTTGCATTCGGCCGCACATCTTCTGGTACGCGCGACTGCTGACGCAAAAGACCGGCAAAGACCTAGCAACCTGGTTATAGTCGCGCATCTCCTCGTCGGGGTTGAAGTTGTCTTCGTCTTCTTCGGCCGCGTTTTCCTGGTCGATTTCCTTGATACCGGCAGCGAAATCCTGCTGAATAGCCGATTTGGAGTACTGGTTTCGGCCTGCAATACAAATGCGGCTGATCTCAGCTTTGATTTCATCCTTCTTTGCTTCCAGTTCTCGAATTTGAGGTTTCAAGTCGTCCATAGAGTGCTTGATTGCTATCCCTTCTCGCCTAGCGTTCTTCTTCGTTTCCTTTAGCTCCTTCAGTTTCTCTTTGATGTCAGTTTCGGATAGCCGCTTCCTTTCTCCCTGGAATGTGACTTCATCGTCGCTCCTAGACTCATCGGAATCGGAATCCTCAAAATCATCATCTGTATCGTCATCGAAAAGCTGTTTCCTTTTGCGTGCCTGCTTATTCGAGACGGCCTTCTTGCGTTTGTGAGTCTTGGGTTGGGGTGCGAACACAGATTTCCCGTCGTCCAGTTGCTCCTGGAGTGATTCCCACACCTCAATGTCCTCACTTGCGCTCGACATCGCAAGCTTATAGACCTCTCGCGATTCGTTCAACTCTTGAATCTTGCTCCGAATCTGCTTTATCTGCTCATCGTGGCGTTCCTGTTCTTCTTCAAACGTTGCAACGTTCTCTTCGAGCCCGAGACTGTCGATTGCTTCAGTGATAGAGATGTCATCGGTCTTCGAACAGATGAATGTAACACTGGAGAAGCCGCCGTCGTATTTGAGCTGCCGTTTGAACGAGTCACCGAGCAAGGTCTTAGCGGCTTTGTCGTCCACAGCTCGATTGATAGGAGCAACGATCCAGAGACCGGTGCATTGCTTCATGTAGCCCTGAGCAACAGCGGCTCTCGCGGCGTTACTGTCATGAACACCCGGCAGATCCACAATGACTGCACCAGTTGAGAGTGCATGACTCTTCGTATAGATTTTGACGACCTTGATCAAGGGCCAGTACTCGGTTTGAAAAGCAGGCTTGGAGACCTTCTCCTTGTTCTTATCCTTCTTTGCGACCTTCTCTTTACTATCTACGTAGCGTTGGAGCTCTCGATAGAAAGACTGAGGTCTGGCCGTGTGGATCTTTTTGGTAGTCCCAAGTACGTCGACAACGGATCGCTTGGACATGAGCGTAGGAACGGTGCAGTCACCTAAAGCATCTTTGGCGACGGACGGGTAGACGGAATGGAACTTTGCCCATGCGATACCGGCATCAGAATTGGGATCCTGCGCCTCACGCGAGAGGGAACCATTCTCGGAAAGGAACTCGCGCAAAAGAACTGTGAGCTCCTTCTCCCAGTCCGCCTGGCTGATGAACTCAATCTCGGCGCAGTATTTAGAGCCCGGGTCAGTGCTGCTGTTCCACGAGATCTCGGTAACCACCGCAGTGCAAGCACGCATGCAATTGGTAGGTACGAGCCGCTCTTCGTCAAGCATAGCGTTGATGACGCTGCTCTTCCCAGCTCCAGTATTGCCCACTACGCCGACCACAGTGCGCTTTCGCTGCGCTTGAGGGATGAGCTTCTCAATGGCTTGTGCCCATGCCGCAGCGTCCGCATTAGATGTTGAGTATTTCAGAAACTTGTCTTTAAGGCTTGCGAGCACTTTGAGCGATGTGGAGACGCCAGCCTCAAGCATGTCAGGGTCTCGTAGCTCAATGACTGAGCGAATGCATCGATCTACGGAGCCCAACTCTTCTTGGACATCTTGTTCCGGCGAGGCATCTCTGTTGAAAATCTTCTCCGGGTCAAAACTGCTCTCCGGCTCCACATGGCCATCTTGGGCAAGGGACGTATGTTGCAAAGGGATTGGCGATTGTCTCTCCTCCTTGACGGCGGAAAAATTGTTCATTGGGTACATCGATGGTGCCGCAGGACGCGCATCAGTAGGTTCACGATGAGCAGCTTGCGCTGCACCCTCCGTAACTGAAGCAGCGGTTGGTCGAGGAATTGCCTGGCGGAAATTGTCCCCTGGAATTGACGGTGTGCTTAGTTCACTAGAAGAGCGCCGTGGTAGCTGATGAGATCGGTTCTGCACAGAATATCGAACAGGAGACCGTGATTGAGACCACGGCGGGTACCCATCTGAGTCGAGTGCAGGTGCGCGGCTACTCAAAGTACTGGCATGCCTCGATGTCAACGGCGAAGCAAAGCTGGGATTATGTTGAGTTGCCGAATGGACTGATGCACCATGAGAGGAAATGGAGGCTGTCTCGGCACCATAGCGTAGTGGCTCTCTTCCCATCGTTCCAGGGTTGGCATGGCTGTTTGCTGTTTGTTTAGCATCATGACCAGACTCAATCTCCTGGTGCCGACGCGCGATCTCGGCTTGAATGAGCTCTTCCCTGTGCGATGGAGGGTCTTGTGTTTGATGTTGTACCGTTGCGTTGAGCGGGTCTACGGCATTAAAGACCACGACGCTGTCTTCCGGCACTAAGAATGACTTGACGATATCGCTTTGGTCGACGACACAGCCTTTGTAACTAATGCGAACACCGATAAGATCATGCCGTTTCTCGTAAGTATCCTGAATCTTATTGATAGGAATTTTCTAGAGGCAGGTCAGCGGATGGGCGTGGTACTGCATCGGCGCATTCCAGGTATATTCCGCGCGCATTGACGCCGCCAAAACATCGTTATCTCGGAACAGGGAAGGCTATAGAGCTTACATTGTGGCCTATCATCCATAGGAAGTCGGTTTCCTTGAACTCATCCTGCGTAGACTTGCGGTGATCGAGCACACCAATCCAGCACCGGCGTGCTTTGAGCTCCTGTTGTGGTACAACACGCTTGGCGCGTCGATGGAAGTCGTCCCAGTCCATTGCTAGGTTATGCTCATGAGTGAGATGCTGCGGCAATGTATTGATGTATGCAGAAGCTGATTTGACGCATTAGGTGGGAGCTATCCACGGGTGCATGCAGCTGCGAACTAGCGATGGCGGGGTTGGCGGGGTTTGCAGGATGGTGTGACTGAGAGCATTGAAGCATTGGCCAGTTGTTCGTCGCTAGTGCGTGTAACGGTGAATGAGGAGATTGAATGTGTTGGACGTGACCAACGGTCCCTGGAGAGCAAACAGCGGGGCAAACGCGTCTGAACACGCTAAGACACGCTAGCACATGACGCCAAGCCTTTCGACGCGTCCCGATTTCGCTGCTGTCCTTTCGTCCGAAACTTCACTCTGTGATTATCATAACATTACAACATTCATTAGTCTTCAAAACCATTGCATTCTTTGAGCGCGGGCTTTGCTACTTCTAAAGTCCCTATTATGCGCACGACACTAAGAGATATTAATTTGATTGTTACCTCCACCTGCAGCTCGTTGCGATGACGCACTCCTTTCACGACAAGAACGATAGTGTGTTATAAGTCTTATGCAGTATCTCGAAGCTATTCGCAGCATTGTACCAACTGGATCGTTTCCCTGGACATGTTGCGAAGATACGAAGCCGCCCCAGTCACCCACATGAGCTCGGAACGACAGCGTTATTGTCCACGCATCTATCATAAAGCGCGCCAAGTCTTTCAATACGTTTAAAGAATAGCTTCCAGCTGGCTCAGGCACATGTGTGGTCACATGCAGAGCGGTCGTTATCACATTCATTTCTCGACTTACCTAAATGCCACTGTCCGAATTTTCTCCGAAGAATCGATAGATATCGCTGCACAATGCGTCCGATCACCACCCTGGTTCACAGTGATGAAGTCTCTTTTACGGTGACTTTCTCATGCTCACCACAATGTCTCTCGAACTTCTAGGAACCAAGTGTTGTTTCTGCATTGTTCTAGTCTGGCCACCCTTCTTCTTAGCTGGCAGGCATGTCGTTCATTTGACTCACCGCTTTGTCTCATTATGTTGCGGTTGGCTCTCCACAATGGTCATGCCCCCAATATGTATACTTCATTGGATTATGACGAGTACAGGTGCGCAAACACCCTTTCCATATCCGCAAACGATGACGGAACAGACGCCGCTGCGACAGAAACGTGTCGCCCCAGAAGCCAACCCCGGTATCATCGGATTGATCGCGGCATGCAACAAAAACGACAGGTTCAAACTTCTAGAAGACGAAAGTGTTCTGCCTGGAGATTTGCGCAATTCGATCCATCCGACATTGCGTTGGTTTGATAGTAACGGGCCTATGCGGCAGATGCTTCGGTTGGCATCACATTTTCTCAGCCATGACACCGTCCTCGCTTTCTTTGTACCGCTTCTATACGGACGCGACTTGATAGGCATAATTAACGATGCAAAGAAGACTTACCTCTCAGACCCGCTCGCCAACGCGTCCGAAGAGAAACGCAGTCAATATCTAGCCGGAGTGCGTGAGGCTTTGCATTGCCTTGGGCACAGCGTTTCCTTCCACTTCCTACCGTCTGCGAAGCGAGTATACGCCCGTTCACTGCGGGACAATGCAAGTCCACACCATGTCGCTTCATGTTGTCCGGCGTTCCAGCGCAAATTTTCTTGTAGGATCGAAATGGCGGACTGGTTGAGTAACTTTTATTCGACTGGTGAATACGAAGCCGCGTCGCGATGTGCGCAGTTTCGGCACGATTTCCTTTTTGCTGCAACACTCGTGCATGAGATTACCCACGCTGTGGGAATATTGCGACGGGGCAATACAAGGGAGCCGCACATCCGAGCTGACTGCCCAGAAGCTGAGTGGGGCTATGGCTGGGAACACTTCATGTTCGGCACCGTAATTAACCCTCAAGACTTGTCGGGACCAGGCACTCACCTTCTTATGCGTAAGATATGGGTAGATCGAAAGACGGCCAGCGAGACTGGATGTAAGGAGTACTGCGATGTACCCATGTCTTACATAGCGCAATGGTTTCGGAACGACACATGGAGCATTGTAGCCAAGTATGGACCAACTGCGGTTGCAGCACCAATCGCTAATTTCAAGATACGGCTGTCGGACCAGCGTGGGGCCTGGGTAGTGTCCAGTGACCATCCAGAGATCGAGAAAGATCTGAGACCGCTGCAATCTCAGTGGCGAAATCGCTCTTTGAGTCTAAGTCTACAAATAGGGTCGCCATCATCACCAGCTGCTCGTTCGCGTTTTGCCAAGATATTTTGGCACCTTGTGACTAAGGAGCAGCTGCAGAAGAATAACGCGCCGGTTCCGCTACGCATTTCGATCATATCGCGGGCTGAGACAAGCCCCATACCAAAGCTCACTCAGACCATAAGAGCATGCTACAAGCCAACAAAGACACAGACCCTTGTAGGATACCGACCAGACTACTCTGATAGCTGCGATATGTCTCGAAAGCGGCGCGCAGAGCCACGAGACGAGTGCCACCGCGTCAGCAAAGCAATGAAGCGGTAAACTGTGGCAACGACCCTAAAACCCCAGGACGAGCTTTAGAGGTTGTACTCATCCCACGGAAGTTATGACGTTAGAGTGGATATAGCACAGTGTTGATACCGATTCCGGAAGGAAGCAAGGATGCGGACTTATTGGCGCGCGCACACTTGTTGTGCGGTCCCAAATACATAGCTACGTCAGGAGTGATGTAGCATATGACGAAATCTCACCCAACACGGTAATTAGGTATCAGTCTAGCAAACCGTAGTAGTCACCTGTAACGTCTCACCGGTGTTTCTCTCACTTCTTGGACGCCTGTTCGTCATACCAGTATAAGAGACTTAGCCCCGGCTCCTAACGTGCATTTCTCGTAGTGAACTATCCAACCCAAAACCAAGCTCATCAGCGTTTCAGATGCCTGTTAGTACGCCACTTCCCACGAGGGAGGCATATCTGAATGATTTGATACCCGTCGCAATATGTTCCGCAGCAGATCCTTGCCACATTTGTTGGGATAGTTACACAAAAGATCACGAACCGGTTCTTCTGCGTCCTTGTGGGCACATATTTGGGAAGCCATGCATACAAGAGTGGTTCCAAAAAGGCGCGAATACATATCCACTCGATAGAAACAAGCTTTTCATGTCAACAACGGATGCGGAAGAGACCGAAAGCTGGTCATTTGTTCCGTTCGGAGCTTTACGAGACCAGGGCGGCAGAGATGCGCCAGCAAGTGATAGAAGAGGTGGAGTAGCCAACAGAGCGCATGCTGCACCGGAGCAGTATCTGTTCTTCGGTGGCGAGATCATTGGGATAAACAGTCGCCTCACACTTGAAGGCTGTCGTCGCGTCGTTCGCGATCTCTGGTATGTAAGCAACCATCTTTACCATCAGATTCGTAATCATGCCGATGATCACGATCCGCTATCCGTCAGCGAAGACACGCTCAGAGAATCGATACTTGATGCGTTGCCTCGCGGTATCGATGTAGATGACCACGCTTGGCCGATGCTTTTCAGCATGGCAAGAAGTATGCTCACGTCGCGGGGATTGGCCTGGGAACATGGGTCGGAGGCGAATCTGCGTAGGGAAGATATGATGGGCTGGGGAGAGGAGCTCTCGCGCGTGTGTGGGGGTGTTCAGAACCGAGATTAGATAGAGATGCAGATAGTGAGCTTCAGGGCTGGCGAATATCCAGTGTGTTGATAGTGGCTAGTCATATAATAGACGTCTGAGGGTTTCGCTTCTGAGGGTCTCATCTGCTCATATGTTGAAAGTTCCAGGTTCGCGGGCACTCAGCGCGGCGGCGGGAAAGCTCGAAGTAGGTACCTAGGTAGCCAGGTACCAGCGGACCATCCCGAGATCTCTTTGCACTCAACGAAGATGCCTAAAGAGTCACATTTACAGTACACTGCACCTGGTACTAGACGTGTTGTGCCGGGTAAAAAATGGCAAGTTCTTTGGCTCCCAAGGTGGTGACAGATTTTGTGCCGTTCTGAAGTTTCCATCGAAGCTACGGAATTTCTAGAACACCACCACTGGGCACGGACTTCCACCCTCGCCGTCACCAACTCGCTCCCCACCTTTTGCTCTAAACTCTCCAGTTGCTCAAAATTCTCGAGTACTACCACCAGGTCTCATACAGTAGTCGCCTGGGTCCGATCCAACGACGTCCACTTGCACTTTTCGCACTGCGCAGGCGCACACGTGGGCCCGACGCCGGCCGCTACCCGGTCAAAATCCTCACCGCTGGCTTCACTTGGGTCGCGCGACAATAGCAAGACTTGAATACTTACACCACTCGCACCATATCTATTCAACTGTATTCACTCCACGGTCACCGTGGTCAGATAAGTTCGCAATAGCTCGGCTCCCACACACCTGGGCACCCAACGCTGTTTCCTATCTTCCACCCAAACCAAAATAGCTCTCGTCAACACTACGACTATGGCGCCCACATACAGCATGCCATACACTCCCGCTGATTACGTCGCTTCCGAAGCACTACTTCCTGAGGAATGCTTCGGTTATGCCGACATCCCAACTCTAGTGAAGATTCACGAGGTTCTATGCAATAGCGAAACACAGGATGACGTCGAGCTCGCTACATGGATACAGGAAAGATACCTCAGCGCGCCCAGGAACGCTTCCGAAACAGAACCGATGCGTACCGCGCAGGAATTCGGCAGATTAGACAGGGCTTACCGTAGGGTGCGGTCTCTCAGTGGCAAAACCCAGGACAAATGGCCAATTCTCGACATGCATTTCAAGGAGATGTCATCAGCGATGGTTCGAAATAACGCGCGCGGTGAAGCCGCCCCCGGAGTCATGTTCCCAATTGACGGATTGCAGAAGAAAGCTTGTCTAGCTGGGCAGCCGCCCAACGGGTTTGTCACCCCTAATGGTAAGTAAGCTCTCGCCCAATCCTGCCTGCAAATACTGACTTCTGCTATCATAGCCTCCGCAGGGCCAAAGCTCCAAGTGCCGTTTACAAATAAGCCTAGCCGGTACCAACCAGACGTGCAGACTTACCCACGTCCGACACGGCAGACTCTTGTACCACTTCCTTCCAATGTTACTTCCAAATCATCTGGAGAGTGGAGCTCTGAGAGCCAGGCGGTACCTTCCAATCGGTCTCAGATTCCTGCAGCCTCTTCACAGAGCATTCCGCAGCATACAGGTATGTTACCGTCACCTAATTCACCCAATCTCGCTTGATTACCTCACTTTACCCCACATCGCATGGCTCACTTTCGCTTTTGCTTCCTTCATCATGCTGACAAAAAAGCGCTAGACTTCTCCTCACAATCAGACGGCCATACAATGTCTCAGACCGAGCCACCCGCATCGGGCTTGCCTAAAGCCGAAGAAGCTCTTGGCCAGACCCCACCTAACGACGATAGTGACGCTCTTCTATCAGAGCCCGTAGGCGGTACCGTGACGCGTCACATCAGCTCCAACCCCAGCGAGGACTTGCAGGCAGAGTCGGCAGTACGAGATGCGGGCGCGGGTAAGGTTCGCGGCCCAAATGGACGCTACCTTCCCAAGGACGACGTCGAGCCCGAGACCAAAAAGGCTAAGAAGCCGAAGAAGGCAGTCAAGCCCCGTACGGGCTTGAGAAATATGAAGAAACTGGAATCACCTACACCAAGCACAGTCGGCGAAAAACCAGCGACTGTACCAGCCGAAGATGAAGATTTCATGGCAGATGCTCAGCCGCCTTCGCCTCCAGTGTCTAGCCATGGGGCTGAGGAGATGAATGGAGTAGAAGATGTCAATTCTGTCAACCCAGCTTTTGACATCGTCGCATCATCCACAACCGATCTAGCTGCATCCCCTGCAGCCGCAAGCGAGCAAGAGGCCGAGGTGGAGGACGAAGTAGCGTCCGACTCGGGATCTACGCCTGCGTATCTTCTTGCAGCCGCGGCTGATCCAGTACCGTCAAATTTGGACAAGCTGCCTCCCAAGTCTAGGAAGTCCATCAAAAGAAAGAGTGATCCAACTGCCACGTCTGGAGACCGGAAGCGGGGTAAACACGGTGGAATAGTCGGCCGCCCAAGGAAGTCCGAGCAGCACGGAAGCCACACATCAGATCAAGAGCCAGCTCAAGAACAAGACGAGAAGGTCACAGAGACAGAGGATCCGCCTCAGATGGTAACACGTCGAGCTACCAGACGCTCTGCGGCAGCAAATCTGAACGCGCCCGAAATCAGCAAGCCAGATGCAACGTCGATGGCAAAACCGCCTATCAAGGCACCGGTCAAACGGTCGCTTTCAACCTCGGTAAAGCCATCAAAATCCAAACGATGCTCAAAGGGATCATCCACTCCCGAAGAAGACGAGGTAATGAGTGGTGTCGAAGACCATGCGGCGGCTAGCCATGAGGAGACTATAAAGCCTACTCCCATTGTCAGAGAAGCCAGTGCTACGCTTTCATACGGTTTGGGAAGCGTTGCACCCTCGCAGCTTCCGGATAATCACTTCTTGAGCATCGGTATTAGCAGGACCAGCTCCCCCGCCCTTCAGCCGTCTTCGCACCAGCCCTACCAATCTCCTTACCAGGCGGTGCCGCCAACGCCACCACCTACAGTTGTTGCAAAAACGCCCCTCATTAACGGCACAACATCTACTTACCCGCCAGGTCACGCGGAATATTTCGCTCGCATCACCACAAGCAACGGCACTACAATGGACTTACCGATCGAAGAGAGCCAAATCGAGAGAAAAGAGATGGAGACGATCAAGAGATATGCCGAGTATAACGCTGTACCCAACGCGGTACCAGTATTGTATCCTCAGTTCCGGCAGATCTGGGCTTTTGCGAAACAGGGTTAACACGGAGAAGGGACACTGAGGAAATCTTCAGGCTGCACTGAACGCAGTGATTGTACGGATAGTTTAGGCATGAAACTATTACAATGACAATGATCATCATTGATTCTCATGATATCCAATTTTCCTCATTCCCGAACTTTAATGGTGTCTCTCCTCTCTCTGAACCACTTTCTTGCCCCTACCATCAGCGTCTCCGCCTCTGCGGGCCCCTCCTATCGTACGGCTCAAACCTTCCATACCTTCCACCGCCGGTATAACTCCAACCACTGTCGCCACTGCCGTGGAGTTGATTGTATCGTGTCTCGCCGCGACGGGCTCCGGGCTGGTGCGAATACATGCGGTCGGGGTAAAAGCCGCCACCGTTGTTTGCGTCTTGAAGAGAGTTTTGGTAGGGGTAGTACGAGCGGCCGCCTGGAAACATGATGTTGAGCGGGTTTTGGCGGATATGTGTGTGGTTTTTGGTGCTTAGACGTTTAGGGCTGGCTGCGGCTGCTTTGTGTATAAATTGGAAGCTGAAAACTACTAGTAATCGTTATGTTAGATGCGCTTGATATGATCGATGAGTAGGAATTAAAGGCAGAACCTCGAGGATTTATATACGAGGACTGGATTGATGAATAGTTGACTGCGACAGCCAGACATGGACTCGACGCGTATTCTGTGTGACTTGATGTCTGGTGCGTGAGTTGGCGCAGGTATTTCCGGCAGCCTACAAGGCCACAAAGTGTATAGCGTAGTCGTGGATTGTGGAAGGTTTGGTCGCTGTCCTGACATTATTGAATTCAACAGCAGCCGTAATCACCTCTCTTCGGCTCGTGCTCCCTGACAGTCCTCTGTCACGCCCTTTCCTGGTAGACGTATGCGTAAACATATGCTCGAGTCGTGTGATGCATTGTGACAGTCTTTCGTGTCGATGGACCGTTGGTGCAGAATGATTATCGCGACAGACTGATTTGAAGAGACGCGCTGCGATGGTGAACGGTACCTGGGTAGCTGATGTGGTGCAATAGTCCATCCAGTGTCGTCGCCCTCCATAGACTCCATACTATCCATGTGAGGCAGAGAATCGCATCGGATTCCATGCTCAATAACGCGTTGTCGAAACGTCTCGGAGTCTCGATATTCCCAAAGCTGGCAATTGTTCGCCGACGCGTCGTCTACGTCATCGCTGAGCGCACCACGCGCCGGATCCGTTAGCCTAGAGGCTACCATCCACCACAATTCCCAGCATGCATGTCCAACACTATACAATGTCAACACGTTACATGCGCGTCTTCGGCATTTCAGACCCTGGGTCGCGAATCATGAGGATCTGAACAGAGTGTCTAGAAATCGAGTCCAATGACGACAATCTGCACCTCCGAGGTCTGCAGCTCTATGCCCCCTGGCTGGGGCTCTTGCGGCAGGCGGGAGACGGCAAGCGTACCGAAACGGAGGACATCCGTACGAGCATGCCAATCAACGCATCGATCGCGCGCACATTGAGCCATGCTCACGACGAAGAGTTTCGCTTATCGTGAGCATCTGCAAGATGCTGACATGCAGCGAGGATTTTCAACGGCGTGCAACCTTGGGCTTTGTGCCACGGTCTACATCAGCCTCTAGCGACGGTGACACCTTTCCCGACCGCTCATACTTTTCCGAGCACAAACAACAGTCAAAATGAGATGTCAGGGGATCTTGTTGGCGCTTGCGCTCTTTGTCGCTGGATCTGGCGCTGAGCCGATACCGCGGGCTGTGAAAGCACCCAAGGTTGACCTGGGCTACGCTGTCTATGAGGGGAGTCATGATGCCAATACCAGCATCAATATCTTCAAAAGGTACTTTTCCGTCTGAGATCTTCCCAATCCTCCAAAGGTTGACCTTGCGCGGCAGTGTTCGGTATGCAGCGCCGCCACTCGGAAAGCTCAGATTTGCGGCTCCTCAAGCCCCTGTGCGGAATAGAACGGCAGCATCAGCTTTGAGCGATCCACCAGCTTGTCCGCAGACTGGCGCCTCTTCACAGACCCCAGCGGCTTATGGCTTCACCTCCGCGATCGGAAACGAGGATTGCTTGTTCTTGAACGTATACGCGCCAGCTCACGCGAAGAACCTGCCTGTCTTCTTCTGGATCCGTAAGTCACTTTCCAAGCAATGCACAAAGCGTAGCGGACCTCGCTAACAGGATCAAGATGGTGGAGGGTACGGGCTATTCAGCGCCTCTGGGCTAGACCCCAGCGAATTTATGGCCACGAACAAGAATGGCTTCGTCAGCGTCATAATACAGTACCGCCTGGGCGCTTTCGGGTTTCTCTCGAGTCCAGAGGTGAAGCAGCATGGTGCGCTCAACGCTGGGCTCCTTGACATGAACTTTGCATTGAAGTGGGTCCAAGCTAACATTGCCAAATTTGGGGGCGATCCTAGCAAGGTCACTATTGCAGGCGAGAGTGCAGGAGCAGGCGCTGTTCTCTACCAATCTCAAGCCTACGGTGGGCGGCAGAGAGAAGACCTCTTCCGTAATGTTATCACAGCGAGTCCATGGGTACCCTATCAGCATGATTATGACGATGAACAACCCGCAGAAGCCTATGCGGCGTTCCTTGAAGCATCTGGCTGCTCAAAAACGAAGGAAAGTATGGATTGCCTCCGCGCAGCGGATACCATCGTTCTTCAGAATGCCAGCGCCAGAGTTTCGGAAGCTGGCCCTTTCGGTACCTTCGCTTTCTTGCCAGTAACCGACGGTACATTTGTCCAGGACCGCCTCTCCACAACCCTTACTTCAAAGTCGCTAAAGGGAAGGCGTGTCTTATCGGGTAACATGGCAAACGAAGGCGTGCCACTCTCGCCTCCCACCGCGCGCACGCTGCAGGATTTCCGAGACTACGTTGATCTGACATTTCCCGACTTCTCTGCATCCGACAAAGCCCGACTGGAAGAAACATACTCATTTTCTGGGGATGACCTTGACGTGAAGCCCAATGCTACGCGCTTCGCTACATCTGGTACTGGTCTACCCACGGCACTCAACATGAGTGAATTTGGGACAGGAAATCAACAACGTCTCTTGAACGTTTTTGCGGAGTACGCCTTCGTCTGTCCCAGCTACTGGGCTGCTGGAGCTTTTACAGAGGGCTGGAAGTATCAGTTTAGTGCGCCTCCAAGTTATCATGGCTATGATCTGCAAGCGCTATGGAGCGGAACTCCAACGCCCGGCAAAAGCTTCAAGCACGCTTTCCGTAGGATTTGGGGCAATTTCATCACAAAGAACTCGCCGGTGATAAGCTTCGAAGACGCGAAGGGCGGTGTCGCAAACTCGACGATCCCGCCCGCGACTGGGCATGGTTCGAGTGACATCTCTTGGCCAAAGTGGAACGAAAACCAGCCGGTACTACTGAATATGAATGCTACAGGCGGCATCCCTTCCTTGGTGCAAGCGACAGACGACCTTTACTACTACGTTTATAGCGATCCGGGCGTCAGCAACCAGATCAATTTGGCCGATGCAAATGCATGGGAGGGTGGAAGGGGCGGGCGATGTGAGTTTTGGAAAGCTATGGCAAGCAAAGTACCATATTGACGGGTGGAGACGTGTATGGGCTTGAACGTCTGAGGAATGATGATTGTGAACTACGCTTTATCGCAACTACAATCCCAGTCGCTTGTCCATCGCGGCCAAAGACATACCCAGGATTGACCCGCTTACACACCGTCGTTGAACTCGTAGTCTTTGTCCCATCGCTATGCTGGTCAACAACATGTAGATTTATGTGCACATCTTACTTACAGTGTCCCATGGCTTGCTGCCATCGACGAATCTCAGATCAGTACCAACTCTAATCACGTTATTTGGGTCATAATTCAATGTGGATGCGTGTATCTGACTACTATTAGCCAAGATATACGTCAGCTCAAACCCAAGGGTACCTACCGCAAACGGGTTGTGGAGGACTACGTCGCCCGCTTCGTAGTTCGTCACCAACCAACGCCTGTCAAAGGTGTCAGAATACTCTCGTGGACCGTCAGCGAGCAGCCCTGTTGATAGCATGTTCTGATTGAAAGCGTTCTTCGTTTCTTCGTCGCTCAATCCACTTTCCGCTGCCTTTCGGTTGAAGTCTCCCTCTACCTCACGGCCAAGCGTATGACCTACCAGACTCGTTAACTTTGCTGAATCTTCCATCACGAAGTAGAGGACTCACCTTTCTCCAAGTAGATTAAGCCTCCTCCAGTCAAGCTTACATCGCCCATAGGTACCCAGGCAGTGACACTCGTCGGCTCGCCATGCCGGAGGAAGATCTGATCATAATGTACGCCGATGGCCTTGTTTCCTGGTGTGTTGTTGCGCAATAAGCTTCTACGGACACCTAGAGTGTTGTCGCCCCAGTTTGTCATCCGGGCAATGAAGTCTTTCAGCGCAGGGTGCTTGCAAAACGTCTCTTTGTACCAATCTGCATAGTGCGCTTCGAGCGCCAGACTAACGAACTTCTCCGCTGTCGCTTCTCCCGGCTTTCCATTCCCAGGGGCCGCACCAGCGCCAATACCAGGGAAGTCTGCCGCGTCCTTCTCAGGATCGAATATGCCATCTACTGGCTGGGTGTCAGGTTTCAACACGCCGCTCGGTGCAAGCGCCTTGAAGTATTCTTCGCGGGCTTTGAGGACATCGTTCCTTGGTAGTAACCCCTTGAGGAAGACATATCCATCTTCGCTGTAGCGCTGACGCAGCTCTTCCATGGGCATATCTGGAGACGACTCCTTCAACTTTCCGACTTGACTTGGTCGAAGCAAACCATCGTTGACAAAGAGTTTCTTGCCGTTGAAGCTCGGCACGTCTTGCTCCGGTGATAGTGCATGGGGCATGATGAATGATGTGATGAAGTAGCAATCGGCTTCGAATTGTCCGTACAGGGAGAGACAATATTTGGGTGTCTAGCTTATTGCTAAAATCTTCCGGCAACGTAAACGTGGTGTAAACCTATCGCCACTGCCATATCTGTACACGACAGACGAGTGTGCCGGGGAGACTTACCTCTTTCGTCCCTGCCAAGATGTGGGGTAGGAAGCGGGGCTAGTCGCCGCTGTGACACGCTATCTGGATTTTCCGAAGCCGCGGACGCGATCATCAAAGCCCGTCCTTAGTAACCGGTGGAACATGGTTGGGCACGACTCTGCTCATCTCGGCGGGCATTCCTCGTCCTGGACCCCTTTGCGCATCGTTATCGCGCGTGTCCCAGCTTCGTAAATTAGCCCGCACACGCATCCTTCGCGATTCCACGACTACGTTAAGGTTTATCGCAAATGCCATGGTACGAGACTTCGCATCCTTTGCGCACGACCTGGACATCGCTTAACCGTTCGTAGCAATCGATGCCGCACGCGTCATTATCGATGTAAGCTGGAAGCCTCTCGCTAGTGATGCCGGCATACTGATGACGTTGCGATAGGTGATGGCAAGCAGCCGGCATGTGCAAGGTGTGCGCAGGCGAAGAAAGAATGCGTCTACGAAAGCGGTAGACGGTTCCGGCGGTCGTCAATCTCAGATTCGTTCAGTGTTGAACAACCTTGGGTGTCGTACCCTCCGCGAAGTGAGAACTTACCCGGGTCTGTTGCATCTGTCGCTGACACGATTTGGCAGTCCAATTTTTGGACGAATCGAGCGAAATTCGCTCTCAATATGTGCAGGATGGCTATTCTCCATTCGACAGCCCTTCAGTTCATGCGCCATCACCCAGCTGTACCCCTGGAAGTGCTCCGGGTACTGCTTTGACTCCAAACTCAACCTTGTTCACCCCTACGGAAAACCTCACAGTCCTGTCGTTACTAAATTCGGAATCTCCTGTGCAGCACCAAGCACCTGCGCCTCCAGCATTACATGGCCACCGAGCGAACACAAGCACGTACCAGCCACATCAGGAAGAGGGAGTTAGTACCTTTGTGTATCAACAGCCTCCCGGTGAACCTGTCCTATGGCCGTTGGAGCATGAGCAAGAGGCAATGCTGCTGCAGCATTACATCGAGAACGTCGCATTATTCGTGAGTATTTTGTCCGGAGAATGGGCCTTTGACTGACGAATGCAAGTTCGACATGGTCGACACCAGAGATCATTTTGGGGTTCACATCGTCCAGATGGCTAAGCAAAATAGTACCTTGATGTATGTAGTGCGTCTACTGCGTATATGCGTTAGCAATCGACTAATCATCACTCTTATTCAGGAACGCCATTCTTGCGCTATCTGCTCGTCAGCTTAGTCGAACCACCGACTTCGACCCTTACATCGCAGATGCCTACTATCAGCGATGCTTTGACACGCTGATTCCAGCGCTGAACGACAACGTCACCATCAAAGAAGAGCCGTTACTTGCTGCAACCGTCATCTTGCGACTCTTGGAAGAGATGAACATCTCGATTATCGGCTCCGACCCCCAGGGCCATTTGTTCGGCACCCAGGCTATAATCCGTGCTGCTGAACAATCATACGCTGCAACATCTGGACCTGATCGGCGGCAGGCTATCTACTGGGCTGCTTTTCGTCAGGAACTGTGGATCTCACTCATGACGCAACGCGCGTTTAAATTACACATCTTCCCCGCTGATCGCTCACTCGAGCCGGCTAACGACTCCATCTGGGCTACACGAACGATTGCTCACCTCGGCGACGTGAGCAACTTCGTCTTTGGGGAAGGTAGAAACAGCATTGCTCGCTACAACCAACTGATGGACGAGAACAGATCCTGGACACAGTGTAGGCCTGACAGCTTCGACCCATACTATTTCCGGCAAGATCGAGACGGTAGCGGGAGAAACTTCCCGGACATTCGTTTCCACCAAAAGACCCACGTTATGGGCACCCAGTATAACCTCTTAGCTCATATGCTGCTGATTGTACATGATCCGACGATTCCGCAACTTGGACCAGCACACAAAGCATCACGCGCTATTGTGGATAGAGCCGTGCAAGACAACGTCCGCACACTATGCGGAGTGGCCCAATCGAACTCCAAATGGTTTCCTTGCAAGTTTGTTGCCTGCTTCGCGATCGCATTAGGTAAGCTCATTCCGATCCCCTAACGCGACTATGACGAGGAGTAGTCGTGTGTAACATTTGTATTGCTTCTATATCTAACATTCCCAGTCGGCGATCGCTTCACGCTTCGTGAGGATCAAGAACAGCTTCGCGATCTATGGTATGCCTGTGAACGATCGCATGGCTTTCCTCCCACAGCGGCCATTAACCAACTCGAAGAGTCGTGGGGTTGGCACAACTCTTGAAATACATGATGCGGCTATCTCCGACCGCTTCAGCTACCTTATCACGCCTTTGGACTCATCATAAAGCCTAGTTGAATGCATTCATGCGCCTCGGGTCGAAATCACCGGGCATATAAGGCCCAAATCCCATTCCGGGGTTGAACTGGTCCAGCTCATCTTCATCGAATCCCGCTCCGTAAAATGGCATTGGGTTGCCATGGTCACCTGTATGTCCGGGACGAGCCGGGCCCTCCCACTTCGTGAAATGATGCTTTGGTCTGCGATGTCCCGCTGGCGGCTTCCCATTGCCGTGCTCTTCGGCTAGATCGTAGACTCTATGCAGTCGTTTGTCGACAGGAAGCCGTTCCCTTATTTTCGCATATTCAGCCTTGATGTTCAACAACAGGGGATATATGCGCACCCGCTCTACAAAGTCTTTCTCTAGAGCTTTCTTCAATATGCTACTGAGTTCTCTGGTATAGCTGGAGCCTGCCGGTTGTTCTTTGTCCCATCTTTGACCATGGGGGAACTCTTTGCTTCGCGGGCTTACGATTCCGGTACATGCGCAGACCATACTCAAGCCTAGTTGCCAGACATCTGAAGCGCCGCTGAAGAGTGGAAATTCTGGAGCGTCGAACCCAGGCGTCCCCCCTGGTTCCATTATAGCGCGTTCTATACTACGCTCAAGCGACAGATAGTCTTCAGTTACTGCTAATCCAAAGTCGGCAAGCTTCGCTATAACTGTATCACCTTCCATCGTCAGTAGGATGTTCGCAGGCTTGATGTCGCGATGATATATTTTACTCCAACCGGACAGGAATATCTCGTCATCGGTCATATTTGGCTGCGGGCCACGGTGACAGTACGTAAGGGCAGACGACAGTTCAAAGAACCATCTCCATATCTTATGTTCGTTGACGTGGGCGCCCATAGCAACATTGAGCGCGACGTCTGCCAGGTTACCTACTGTACAATACTCCAGATACACAGCTCCGTCTGGTTTGCGCTTATCAAAAAAGTGGTCCACCATCTTAGTAATATTCTCGTGGTCCTGGACCTGGTGCAAGATCTGGATTTCTTTGCGCGGTACATCGTTCTCGAACGCCTCTTTGTTGAAGCGCTTCTCAATGAATACCATAACCCGAGCTTTTGGATTGCTACATTGGACTTTGCTTATGCCGCCGTTCAGACCTCCGCCCATGCTACCGAGCTTCTGGATTACTGTCCATTTTTCCCTCGGTTTTGGTTGATAGTCTACGGATAGCTTCTTGCAAATTTTGGGCATCGCAGTCCCAGGATATCGCCGTTGGTGTGAAATTTTCAGGGGTGTGGT